TCCATTTCTTAAGTGGCAATTAAGTTGAGTCACTACAATTATGAGTGACCAAGATGTAGCACTGCCAACACAAGGCGCGTCGTTATGAAGTTAAATGCGTTCCTGATTGATGATGATCCTGTTGAGAATCAAGGTCTATCAACGGGGGAAAATGATATTCGCAATAGCTACACTCCTGTACGCACCAACTGTATTTACCAGTTTTTATTCTTACCTTTATTGTCACCACTTTTCTCTCAAAGCTATTTGCTTAATTTGAGCATATTCCATCCAACTTTATAAACATTATTTCTTATTAGCTGAAAGGTTGCAATAGCATATGTTACTTCACCGCGTCTGCTAGCTTCAAATTTAAATTGAAAAAGTATGCTGGACTTTGTTTTGTACCATGCAGTTACAAGAATGGTGTAAGTGCGAATGAAGAACACTTTTGATCATTTCATCAATTTTATTTAGGATAATGGATATGAAAACAAAACATTTTTCCATTGTGTCTGAAAAGTCATTACCTCAGATGATTTAATTTCAATATGTACTTGATGTAAAAAACATTTTGGCTTTTCTATTTTATTGAAAACTTTTTTCGATTTATTTTGACATATTTTTTTAAGCAAGTGTACTTATTTTTTATATATTTAATATACGCTGGCATTTATCAGTGTGGCACAAACACATCAATATATTTTTGTCTCTTTTTCTAAATTCTTTTTCTTCTTCATGCTTTCATATCCTTTCAGTGGTTTTCGAAGTTCAAAAACATTGTTAAAAACTACATTGAGATTATAAACGTGTGTTCGTTTGTCTGTACCTTTTTCTTAATATAAAGACCTTTCAAATGATTTTGTTGTTCTTTTTTTAAATCTCTCATTTTTTTTATAATTTACGTTTTTCTTTATGTAATAATATGTTAAATTCGATAAAATATTGATGAATAGCGATTATTAGCCATAAATGTAGATGTGTGTATACATATAAATTTTTATTTCGTTATTATTTATTTTAATGCAACATTTTGGCAAATTACTCGGCGGAAAGAGAATAATAATAACGATAATAACTAATAAATAACTGAAATTTATTTGCTGTTTTTCGTTACAAATTGTTTATTGATTGATCGATTTGCCTTATAAAAAAAGAGAACTGCAATATATATATTTTTTTGTTTGTATTCAAAAATATAAAAATAACTAATAACACGAAATAAAGTATATAAGTATGTACGTAGTCGCGTATGTATATAAAGAATTGGAAAAAAAATTATGATTGTTGTAGAGTTTAACAATCGGTATCATACCAAGCGGCCAAATTATTATTATCATTTGGTGGAGTTGGCATTGTGTCCAAATCGAAACTTAAAGCGCCAGCATCGATTTCGCCAACGTCCATATCTATAGAATACGGAGATGTTGGTGCTGCGTTAGGTGGTGCACCTCCCCCACCACCACAGCCTACGGGACTACTTATTTCGAGTCCCTGCATTGAATCTATGGGTAGAGTATATCCTGTATGTTTAGAAAAAACGAACATAAAAACAAATATGTTACTTATTTCTTTATTTTGTATTAATTTACATATTATTTGGTAGTTTTTTCGCAAGAAAGAGATACGCTAGAAAAAACAATAATTGTAATACTCATAAAAAACATGCGCATTAAATTAAAAAAACATACCATGCTTTCAAAAGAAACAAAATGAAACAGAACATTCGGGAGAAATTTTCGAAATTTTACAAAAAGACTTCCAAAAAAGCTTTATAGGCTTTACGGCAAATCCTGAATCCGTCTAACGTCCTAAAATCCATACTTTTAATACCTATACAAAATCGTCAGAGTATATCAATTATGTAACAGAGGTATCACTTAATAGGAAGCTAAGACAAGGAAAACACATTTCTAAGTTCATTTTTTCCGTTACACTTGCTGATGAGAGCAAAAATAACGTCATTCCATTAAGAATTGGACGTTTTCCCTGGCAAACTCTGATCTTAGGTTCCTACTACTTTCTTGTACCAACGGCCTATGGCGAGCGTGGCAATTGACATGTTATAATTTTGTATGCCTTGGGCCAATGGATATTGGAGGAAAATTTGAAAGAAAGTGCGGATAAACTCGGTATTTTGGAAACCTTTAAATTCTACCTAGATAACGACCTCACGCATAAGCCCCACTTAATGCAAGAATGACTCTTGCGCGAAGGTGCTTCAACCCCCTTCCCGATCACCAGGCATGAACTCTGTCAAAAATATGTGGAATGGATGGGATATCCATGTGCGAAAACACTCAATCTCTTCCGTCCAAGATCTACAAAATAGACTATGTATAAGAAAGAATGGAGTAAGATCTTTGTTTCCCACACAAGAAAACTTATGCAAAATATGTCAAAACGTTTAAATGACGTTTTTAAATGGAAAGGATACCCCATCAAATATTAATTTTTAATAATACGCTGTTTTTTTCTTCGTGTCCTTCCCTATATGACAAAAAACCCAATATTAATGGCGCTATATTTTTTGAGTTATTGAAGTTATTTAATTTGCTTGTCTACTGGAATAATGTTTTGTTCGTTTTTTTTTAATGCTTTAATATGCATTCTCTAGTAGTACAAAATAGTAAAAAAAATTTTTATGTTACGGCAATGGAGTAAGCTTAACAAGCGCTTACTTTTTCCCAACCAAAAAACCCTAACATTAATGAGACCCCCTGTACATAGTACGGGTAAATAATGGAAGAAAAGTCAAGTTTAAAAACTTCCTTAAAAGCTATAAATAATAATTTTTCACAACGTATTAAAGAATATTGAATAAGTAAATTTTAAATCTTTTTTTAAAACATTTTTAAATACTTTAATTTCGCATTTTAAACATCGAGATATTTTAAGAATCTACATAATTAAATACAACCCGTCGTAGCCCAAAACGCGCATTTTCTTTCTCCCCCTCTCTCTAAGTCGCATAAAACCGCACAAGAACAGATGCAACTGCAACACTTATCTTTAAGTATAGAAAATGGAATTGCAACAGTCGTCTTAGATAGATAAGCAATTGCACTGTTCTCTTTTTTGCTTTTTTTTAATGCATTGATTTGTTAATGTACAGAATTAATCCTTCTTTTTCTTTTTACCACGTCGAGTCCTAACTAACAAGTTGAATATGGTACAAAATGATAGCTAATAACTTTAATTATGCAGAATTCCCTAAGCTATCATGAAACTCATTTCTTGAAAAAATATCTTTTTAAAATTAAAAAAAAGGTACCTATACTCGTATTTAAAAATAGGCAAGTTACTCTTTGTTCGGAATACTGGATACAAGAGCCAATTTATTCCTTTGATTCAATAAGAAATCCGGGCAAAATTACATACATTTTATTGACAATTACGATAGGTGGTCATTAGTTTAAAGAATAAAAGAGTGATACAGTTATTTGGCAGAAAATTACTCGTAGGAAAGCTGTTGTGTCAATTTATTTCGCCTTGGACTAAAAAAGAAATCTCATTAAAATTTCTGAATTTCTGGAAATAATGTTGCGTTAATTAAAAGAATATGGACACACCGTAAAATGCTAAATTGATGTTTCATTTTAAAAGATTTTCTAAATCAAGTTTTCTCAAAATATCGTTGGAGTATGAAGCCTATCAAGGTAAATAAATATTATTTTAAAAATAAAGCAAAAGTTAAAGCATAAAAGGAGTTGATTACAGTACTATATCGGATAAATCTTAGACTTCTGCCATTTTAAGGAGTTTCATGTTCAATAATATAGACGTTTTAGAAAACCGATGAGATATTATTATTGTCATATAATTATCATATTATTTAAAAAAAGTATCATATCGATGTCCACAAGAGATCATAGATATTATTAATAAAAATATAAAAACATTTTTGAACCTTCTTAACGATTTTAATCTGCTTAGAAATGTGTGTATCAAAATACAGGAGTGTGCAAGGTCACAATTTTTGTTTCAATCTACGAATTTCGTAAAACAAGAGCCAGACGAATTTAATAAGTAATCTCGCAGCAGTTAAAAACAAGTGAACATATTATGGATAAGTTAGACGCACGCTTGAATGGTTCGCAAAACAGTAAAATTAGCGTAATTTCCGCCGATGGCAGGCAACACGAGTGTTTATAATATTGCGCTCGAGTGCTATGTTAGAGGAGTAGTTTGCATAAAGAAAGGCCCATCCAGGCCGTCAGCGTATCGATCGTATTCATTGGCTAACATTTGGTTGTGGCGAGAATCAGTTAGAGAAATGAGATGTAAGAAACCAGCCGTAGGGTTTCGCCAATATTCCCTTCATCCGAATAGGGCTAAAAGGTCTTAAAGAACACTTGTGATAAAAGTTGCTTGATGTCAGAGCATTTTGATAGCGCTTACAAGTTTATAAAAAGATATCATGTTTAAAATGAACTGAAGACAAAACTATATTCTCTTTTGTGTACCTGTTAATCAAAAAGACGGAAAAATCAGAAAAACAAATTGCCGTCAGCTTTAAGGTTTCGAAAAAATTCTATTTCAAACATATATATAAACATGTGTAAAAAAAATAATACTTTTTTCGCAACATAATTTAAGATTCGAATAAAACTGGATTATAAATTCATTTCTATATTAAATATATCATCACATAATTATATTATCATGCATATGCTTTAAAAAAAAACTTTAATACTTCACTTTTATTAAATAAAAAAGAGGATTTTAAAGAACAAAAATTTTTTAAAACAACATAAAAACATTAAAATAATCAAAAATTGCATTTTTTTTTAAATATATAAAATATGTAAATAATCACCTATACAAGAATATTTGAACGGAAGACCACATGTTGATGTACTTTGAGTTTCGTTTAATAAAAAAATTGATTTCGTAGATATGTATTATGCAATTATGTTATTATTTTTGGTGTAATTTTTTGATACTTTAAGTAAACAAAGAGGCAATATTCACCTAAGAGCAAATATCGAATACCCATCATCCAAGGAAATGGTATCGTCATATGTCGCTGGATCGATCAAGATCGTTATTATATAAAATTCATCCTTCTCTTAAGAATAGCTGTTCACGTCTGCTTGGTTCGAAATTATTTCGTAATGTTAATTTTTCTAAATTTTTTCACCATGGGACCGTAGCCTTCGAAAATTATTTGCAATATTACGTAAAGTCATCTTCACATGAGAATTTCCATTCCAGTTGCGCTAATACCAAGTTACAGTCATTACATAAGTCCAACCAACCAGAATGATTCCACGTTTTGTACATTTTACGATAAGGACGACGACCCAAATTAACCAATTATGGAACTTTTCACGGAATCGGCACATATTTCGTACAAATTGAATGCCGCACAGCTCCCAAAAAAATTGTATTGTTGCATACCATTTTCGTAGGCGGACATTCTTCAGTAAATTATTGACAAGACCATTTTCAAATTTTTCATTGAGATGACTTCAATCTTGCAATCATACTTGTTGTCTTAATCAGCACATAATCGAAAGTAATTTTTCACAGCGATTAAGAAAATATTTACCTAGTTTCAATCTCTAAACCCAATTTTGGAGAAACAAGAGGCAGATGGAAGTATAGAGAATGAACTGATATTTATACTTTATGGATTTTTTATAGATATTTCCAATCCTTGCAAACAGAATGACGGAAGCACTACATTTGCACTCTTCGATGATGGGTACAAACATTGAAAATGACAATTTTTTTCTACTAAAAAAAGAAAACAAAAATTCTATTAATTTTTTCAATCAAATTACATAATTTTCATTAATTGTTTGTTAGATGCGTGTACAAATGATTCAAGTTTCTCTCTTCCAAATATGACTCAATGATGATATATGTTAGGCTGGCTTAACTGGATTTACATTTTTCAATTTTTTTTTCCGACAGTTACAAACGCACGTTAGCATTTGACGGCCAAACAAAAGGAGATAAAAATAGATAAAAAAGAGCAGAAAATTAGTTTAAAGGAATATTCGATATAAGGTGCTAGTTATGTCAGATTGGAGTTGGAATTATTTACATAGAGTTTACATTTATCACGTGGTGGTTATGATTACTCTTGTGAAACGAATTTATAGATGTTTTATTGTGAAGTATGTGCTTATAATTCAACACTCAAACTAACGACGAGTACTGGAGTTCATATTGAGATTTAATTTTATAAAAATTGCCTCTATGCACAATGACGCTGCGAAATACCGACAGGTAAAGTTCACAGTTGGTTTTTTAAACACGCATACATGAAATATATGCGATGTCGTTCGGGCGCCGAAAATAGATATATCCGATGTAGAAAAAGGTAAGTGAAAATTTCTGGTGATAGGGTAATTTGGTGGTGAAGATGTTGATCTGTAAGACGTTCGATGCTTTTTTTTTTGGCAATTCAATAATTAATACCAATGAAACCAAGGCTTTGCCAATCCTACATTGCTTTCTACAACTAGACAGCTTGAATACTGCCTCAACATTGAGCAATTAAGCGTGATATGAAATTTTGAAAATTTTCCAATTTTCGCAACGGATTTGCACATAGAGACAATAGGAGCCTTCCTTGGTTCACAAACATGCCAATAGTCAATTTAAAACACATTTAATTGGCTCCCATTCACAATCATTGATGACTTTAAAATATACAAATCTAAATTTCTATAAATGCCTGTATCACATAGTATAAACTTTTATTAGCTTGTACTACGATAGTTTTCCCTTTTAACGAGGGAATACTCTACTCCCAACATACTTCATTCATCTGTCTATTAGTACATATATAGCCGTTGTGGGCCAGATTATTCTGATTGAACGATTATAATGGTCAGTCATATCGACAGCTTTTAAAACCTTCGTTTATATGAACAATTTACCTTGAATTCGAAGTAGTTTGATATTACGTTCTTATGGGTAACCTTCCTATATTTAAGAAATTTTTTGAATTTATATATTTCATTCACACAAACGTTTAAACTCAATATGTTAATATATTGATTGTAAATAATTCTAAAACGGCTGAGCAACGCGGAAACGTAAATACAGCCAGCATGTTTTCTTTATATAAAGCTAACTTGCGCAATGATTGAAAAGTATTTGATTCAATTTTTCGCCCAAAAATTGCAGATATGACGTCATAACAGGTTTACCAGAAAAATTTCAAAATTGATCAATCTAATAGCGCCCATTTGGTCCAACCAAGTTTAGTTAAAATATAAAAAAATTGTTTGAATTTTTATATAAAAAGAAGGTGACGTTTCTCCTTCATCTGTCACGACGTGGAGAGTTTCTAAATATCCAAAATGTACAGAAAATAATGCAAGTTCTAACTACGGACGTAGTTAATATGTCAGTCATATTATATTCCAGTTTTTAATACGAGTACCAGATACGTAAATATGAAACCGGAGTTTGCACATAAGTGTCTTTAACGTAACATGTAGAAGACATATATGTCTAAAGTTGAGTTTTCCTTTTTTTTAGCTTGGGGATGTGTTGGAATTACACTATAAAGTAGTAATACCAACACATATCGCAACAAGAAAATGCTTCAATAACAACGAAATTCTCGAAGATTTTGTGCCAAATAAATTGTATTCACTGACAGGGTTTCTCTTTACCCAAACGACACAAAATAAAGTGCCTTTTTTGCATCGTATACTAATTACACAACAAGACAACATTCTATATTTTATGGGACCCTAAAAGAAAGGTCTGACATTGACTATCAAAATTAATATAAAAATAATGAATATATATTGAATTTAAACAGTTCGCTTTTCAAAAAATGAGCGAAGTATCAAAATGCGAAAAATGTCATTTTTTACTTTGCATCTCGCGTCATCCACAAATTATGAAATAGGTGGAAAAAATGTAAAGCCAGTGATGCGCAATAATATTTCAAATAAAATAACATTTTCTACACAAAAATACCGGTTACAGATGTATCACTCAATAAATCTCCGGTTTATATTATTTTTTCGCAATTTTGTATTCCGACGCACTTATAATCCTACATAACATTCACTATTGATTCTTTTCCCATTTTTTAAAATAGTCGATAAATATTCCGGCTTAAGCATCGCAAAATACGGACCCCATAAGCTTCCCAGTCGACTTTTGCTTTTTCGGTCGCTTTGGACTGCTTTCGCCGATTGCTGCCCACTCGACCGATTGCTATTAGATTTTCGAATGTAACATTGATTCAATGTTTTATCCATTGTCACATATTGCGTGAAAAAATCGTTTTTATTTCGTTTCAATGCAAAATAGTGGATAAGTTTGATATCTTTAGGGTGTTAGCTATTTTACTGAACCTAACTTTTCGATCTTCCAAAACGATATTGTTCACGTTTTTAATTGTTTTTGGAATGCCTGGCGTATTCAGGCGACTAGAACGTTCAACATAATTGGTGTCCATATGACTGTTTAAAATTAGCAATCCCCTACAAATTTCGACAGTCAAGACTTGCTGTAACTTCTCTCAAACCAATGCTTTGCCTTAACGGTATTCATTCTAATCGAAAATCAACATTTAATCAATAAATGAAATTCAGATTTTTAAATTGTTCCAGTGTTATCTATAACTGCAAAAAAATGATAAAATTTTAACACGTATCGTTTGAAGACTAGTACTATGCAAAAATAATGTGAGCCTATCAATAGAGTTGCTATAGTGTTGCTAAATTACTTAAAACCATGACAAAATGTTAAGTTTTCAGGACATTTCATTTCATTAAAAAGTATATAATATCAATTTTGAGCTTTGACCAAGTCAAATCCACTGGCAAAAAACGCCGAACGCGAAACATGATGAAACATTAAAACTAACCAATTTTCTAGAAAACGAAGCTTTTAAAATGGTAAAACCTGCAACCAGTTCTTGATGCTTTACCTGACAACATCGTAACGTGATTGGTGTAAACATCGAAAATAATTTGAAAATGTGACAAAAAAATTTAATATTGATAATTGTTTGCAAAGGGGTATATAAGCGGAATATTTGCGGAAGGCAAAGTTACCCCTTTTCTGACATTTTCTTTTTTGTTTGGGGATAAATTATCACAATATAGATACAAATTGATGTTTATTAAGAGTAAGACAATCTAATTTTACTACAATAAATGTTATATTACATATAATATATGTAACATAAACCACCTGTGTTAAAATTGAATTGGAATAGATGAGCTTGAAGTTGAACACAAAAGCAAAGTCAGTCGAGTGAAGAGGGCTGAAATGTGATGTCCAAGCGGACAAACCTTGACACGTTATAGATATAACTTCCTGCAAATAGTTCGCAGCGGCAGACTAAAAAAAATATTTTATTTTACAAAATCCTATCATTTATGCCTCACAAAACAACAAAATCAATTAAACTATTTTCAGTAGATTTCCAAAACAAAACAACATAAGTAAATCGCTAAGTGTGCTGTAGTATTTTAAAAATCAGTCCTTACAAAGTAGAAACAGTATAGTGTTCCCACAGCACTTCCACTTTTGAATTATCGATATTTAATAAATTGATTTTATAAAATTGATTTTATAAATTGATGAAATGATTTTGCTGTTAGCCGAGACATTATGAGACCCGTTGTCTGCAGTGTCTACGAATGCCGGTGTAAGCCAGTTGATATCCTTCCCATCTTACCGTCTATACCAACTTTATAGAATTTGTTGTTCTTTTCGACAACTTTATAGGGTTCCCCATATGGATTCTGCACCGATAGTTTCCATGCGTATAAACGTACTTACAACTAATAAGGTCTTTGGATACATATCTCCCTCCATTGATAGCCCTATTATGAGAAATTATTATACTTAATTTAACCAGAGAAGTAAATTCGAAGACTAAAAACTTAAAGTACTAGCACCGAAGGATACCGGATAAAATATATTTGAACGAACATTTCGAAACGCTTTGTCCCTCGTTCAAATTCTCTTAACAAGCTTGTATTTGACTAGGTCTAAACGTGTACGTTTTACGGAGTGCAAGGGTCCATTAGTCCCCATTTTAAAACACTTCGAATTTTCGATTGATTCTCACTAATCCGGTTCTGATATAAGTGATGGGTACTGTATCAGTAAGTCCCCATATTGACGGTGCAATGAGAAAAATCTTGGTAGCCAAATCTCACAAATTTGTAAAAAGATACTAATCGGTAATAAGGGGGAACAATAAGAAACATATTCCTAATATGCACTAAAAGTCCATTCTTATGTACGAAATCAGCACCTATAATATATAATAGGCTGCTCTATATATAGTAAAAACGAATGGAAATTTCGGGGAATTTTTTTTTTTTACATTTAATGCTTAACTGCTGTTGAAACGACATCTGGATTTTGTTGTTGACTTTGATAGGTGTAAAACTGAAATACCAGCTCCGTTATTCACTAAAAACTTTTATTTATACCTTTATCATAAACAAATAGGCGAAGAGCCGTTAAATTATCACGCCCAGTGTCTGCTGCCTCGATAACGACTTTACGAAGCTTGTTGAATATTCCGTACCTTTACTGCAGGCGCAGAGTGGCTCACATATCTTCGCATTTTTACGGTAATTAGAGTGGGATCTACACAGCTAAATTCTATCTCCAGATCTACTTCGTGATGGAGATCTACCTGTAATACCTCTTCCTCTATGATTTTGTTATTGGGATTCTTCGAAATGGTTCCTCATTGCTAAAACTTCTTGCGAAAAATTTCTAAAGATCTCAAATATATTGTTTGTAGTTTGCACAAACTCTTCAACTATCTTTCCTAGATCTGCTGCACGATGTGGATTTTTCGAGTGCAGGCACATCGTCTGTCTGTGAGATTTCCCCTATATTGTTTGCCAATTCTATCAATTGATTGACGTTCGAATAATGTTAGTGTCACATTTGAATTCTTCGGTAATGTTGACTCCCAGAGCTTTTTTTAAAAAGTCCTCGTCAAAATTTAAACCAGCAAGTAATGCCTATGAAGGATAATATTTTAATGAACTTTGGTCCTCGGTCCCAGAGTCAAACAAAATCATGTGTAGCTGCCTGTTCTCACTGATGTTACGTCGTTGAATCAAAAAACTCCTGCAAACTACCGTACTTATTATCACTTGGTGGACATTGAATAATGTGCAATACGGTAATAATCATCTCCTGTGGTAAAGCAGTTGACTTGTATTCGTATTTGATTTTATCTTGCACTATCCCTTTAGTAACCATTTGTATCTTGGCTAAAATAAACCATCGTTCTTCAGATATCCCACAAACTGGGTATATTCTTCATCAGCATCAAATTCTCAATCGTCTAAGGCATGTATTTTTGTCCGTCTGTGTAACGTCCGTTGTAAACATTCTCCTGGCTGCGAAAATGAAATTGAATGAAAAATGAAAACGAATTTAGCAAAAGCATTGGAAGTTTTCGCATGCATGTTAGTATTGAAAATGGACTTAATCCGTCTAAGGACCCGCATAGAGTACTAGATAAAATGGGAGCACCTCTGCTTTTCAAAAAGGAATAAAAAATTGCTTTTTTGGTCACTGCTCATTAACTATAGCAGATAAATGTATAAAAATTGGAACGTATATTCTATGGGTGATGCTGTAGGACCTGCAAAAATAAGGGAAAAATTTACGGGGCCAGTATTACAGTATATAAAAATTTAATTTTTTTTCAATACCTTCATAACGCGCAGAGAGAGCTTCAAAAAAACGCGATAAAAGTATATAAATTCTTGGCCAGTTTTAAATTTGGAATGCATCTAACCATGTCCATCTGTCCGTCTGCCACACTATGTGGTATGTGTAGTCAGCATTCTCTCCTCCGCAAAAATGAGGAAATAAACAACAAATATGCAAGACTCATGCTCAACTTCATATTCCAAACTCCGTCTACGACACGTCAGTATCACTCACCAACAATGCTACTGTATCTGTCATATTTACCAGATATTGTTCCTCCTAATTAACACTGGTTTCAATGTTATTTGTCCTCCTAGAGATTTTATTCTTCTGATGATACGTAATGGAAACCGTACCCTTTAATGGATAGCTTAAAAGCACTAGATGTTCTTTCGCAAGGAATTAATATTCTTTTAGGAAGACGGGAAAATATGGCGGCTAGGGAAGAATGGTACATATAATAACAATAAGTTTGGTAGCATTTTTGCAAAAGAACGCTTCATTTGTATAAAAAAAATTCAAAATTTATACATATAGGTGCCAGCGGATTTTCAAAGTAAAAACATTGCAGAGAAAAGTAAAACTCAATAATGAAGATTCTCTGAATTTAAAACCTTTTATTATACTCGCAACCGAAGACTTGCAAGATCCAAAAATAAGCTTCAGAAACTCTTTAACATATGTACATGCTTGATCAACGTGAATATCTGAACCGACCGAGCAGTGGATATGAAACAAGAGCTTGCAGAGGAGCTAAAGTAGACAATCTAATCAGCTAATCATCTAAATGACACCATTCTACTTTAAACATAATGGACGCTACTAAGCAGGGAATTATCTTTTCCTTAGCTATCCTGTAGAGTAAAATGTGAATTATAATAAACTAAAAAATGTAAAATAAATAATTACTACTATTCATAAGAACAAATTTTTTAAGTAACTAAAAACTGGAAAATAACCTTTCTTTGCATTCATGTTTATATGGATATGCGTAAGAGGATGGGCCGCTTGGAAAAAAACCTAATTTTGTATACATTAAAGTTTATACAAAAAAGGGCACAGGAAACGAACGTGTCATTCGAGCACAGTCACCTGCGACCGTGAGATTTGGGCGAACATTTAACATATATGGTAACGGTCAACGCGTGCTTATTGATAATGCTGAGTTAACGCACCAACAAGTTACTGGAAGCAGTAATGAATTTGTAACGGATAGCACACATTTAAACGTCCACATCTCGCAAATTTAGCATACGTTGCTTTATTGTCAGATTTAAAGATAAAGAGGCTGTTTCGGATGTCGACGCAACAAGCAAACATTATAATTACGACTTTGGAAACAGGAAATAGCATTTTTTGACACAAAACTCTACCTATTAAAAACTCAAATAACTGTTGTTCACAATCCAGCTAACTAACTTAGTTTTTTGTACACTTTAGATCGTACTTTTGTTAAGCACCCTGTAATACTTATTACACTTCTCATGCCTGCTAGAACCTTGCATATATACATTTATATGTATATGAATCGAAGCATTTACTTTTTTTAAACACTAAGAAAAATTTTAAATAGTTTTTCTTAATATCCATTTAAAAAGGCCAAAATGCGTTGATGTTAATATTATTTGATGGCTTACAAACAGGAGCAAATTCATTAAATGAGGATCGGCAGTTACGTTGAACTTTGCGATTTTACAGACACAAAAATAACATGGAAAATTCTGTTCATTTTTGTCATATTTGACGATTTTACTTTGATAATATGAAGGAAAACAGTCATGTTTGCGCAAGATTATAATAAAAATTCCTTGGGCGCTGAAGCGATCCACAGGATTTGCCGCCCACAATTTTGGTTATCGATCAAGTTGGCAGCTCAGGTAAACCAAAATTGCATCTGGTGTAACGCAATATATGCAATACAATATTGCATTTCCACTGATTATTCAAGTGCCTACGATCACTTCATATATCTAAAACGTATGACATAAGCTTTCCCAAAAGTCAGTATTTTTAAAAATTTCCTCAAATTGATTGGATGTGCATTTGACTTTAGAACATTAAAATCCCAGCTTTGAAGAAAATCGTACATAAGATAAACTTTAAACAAGGTTGTTATTATCAACAAAATTTCAAATGCAATGTTTACATAGGTCATTTGACCTTACATACTTTTACTTTTTTCATCTTCTTCTTATAACATGGCGAGAAAGGATCATCGTGGTCATTATTAGTCACTGTACTAATCATTCGTTACTGTTAAGTGATTGAATAAAAACACAAAACATAAACTATGAATTAATGAAGAGAGATAGTGAAGAAGGAAATAAGGGGAAAAAGCTCTGAATAAAAATGGGAATATTGTGGTAAAATGCCATAATAAATACATGTACGAACAAACGAACGAACGAACATTGATGCTAGGACAAGTGGCGAAACGTCTTTTTTTGTAGATTAATAAACAAAAAGTAACTTGATTAGCAAACGTTTTGTTAATTTTTTTTCAGTGTTTTCTTCTTTAGAACAGTGTACAATAATGAAGGAGGACTGACTAAAATTGTTATTGTTTTTGCACTGATTGAATGTATGTTGATTTATAAAATATACTAAACTTTCATGCTTGTTCAATTGGAGAGCTGAAAGGGGTGTGATTGTTTGGGATTAACAATAGTAGAGCTAAAGAAAATCGTTGGACATATACGTACCTTGTTGGAATGCGCGACCGCCGTGGGAGCTGTGAACGCTCGGTGGACCTTGTCCATAGAGGCCCTCATATGCTTGTTCGGGGCCAAGCATATCCTGTGATTGTATGATTTTTTATGGTTTCACAGGACGGTTTTGATTTTGTTTAATTTATCATTTGATATTTTGAATTTGGTGTGGTAGATAGTTTTTTATACGGTCGATTTTGTTATTTGTTTTGTTCGTATGAGAACAACAGAAAAATGTCATAAGAGAAGTTTGAGAAAAAGTTTGGTTTTTGTCAGTTGGATAAATTATCCGCATAAATGTGGTTTAAATGAAATTACGGGAAATAGGACCAAATATACATTGATTTGTTTGGCGAATTTAGCATATTTTTTTAAACAAAAGTATGGTGCACAGGATAATGGTGACATTTTGCATTGGTGAAAAATAGTGATGATATTTTGAAAACGAAAACCATAAAGAAAAATAATAATAGAAAAGATTAATTTGAAATCTTACAAAAGAAATAGAAAAAAAAAGAAAAACAAATATAAAAGTAAAATAACAGCTAATAGCTAATTTAATAATATATCTAAACTATTTAATGTGTTGTTATTTTTATAAATGTACATTCAAACTGAACTCTATAGAAAAAAAAATGAAATAAAGGTAAATATTTTATTTAAAGTAACGCTATATATTTTAGTTAATTTATGAAAACAAAATGAAAAAAAAAACGAAAAATTTTACTAAACTGTATAGTTATATACATACATATATATATATATATATATTATATATATATGTTAGGTATATAAAACTCAGATATATATATTAGTAAAGTATGTTATATGTATATATATTTATATATATATGTATATGAGATATATATAGCTCATGTATATATATATACATTACTAAGTTGTGTATATATATATATATATATTTATATTTATATTATAATTTATATAAATGTATATGAACTATATATATATATATATTAGGAACATATATTATATATATATATGTTACTAAATGCGTAGATATGTACACGTGTGCATATGTATACATAAATATGTATATATGTGTACATATATATGTATATATATGTATATATGTATATATGTATATATATGTATATATATGTATATATGTATATATATGTATATATGTATATATATGTATATATGTATATATATGTATATATGTATATATATGTATATATGTATATATATGTACACATATATACATATTTATGTATATATATGTATATATGTATATATGTATATATATGTATATATATGTATATATGTATATATGTATATATGTATATATGTATATATATGTATATATATGTATATATATGTATATATGTATATATATGTATATATATGTATATATATGTATATATGGGTATGTATGTATTGTAAATACATACATATGTAGATTAATACAAAGAGTGTTTATATAAGTTTTATTTTTGTTTTGAAAAGACCAAGATGGTTGAGTAATCAATTATAAATAAATACGCACAACTATATAAATCTTTAAGTGTATTAAAATATTTTATACAATAACTTCTGTGATTTATCATACAATTTAGACATAACGCACCTGTAAATCTGGACCCATTCCCAAATCAGCATTACCCCATATTGTCTCTTCGCGTAGTAGCGAGTTAGTTAATTCAATCGATAAACGCTTTTTGTAATCCTGGGGTTTATCTTCACTCATGCGATATAGAATAGCAGCCGCATAAGTGGCAACGCCCTCGTTGCGTGAATGCAGTAAATCGGTAAGAGGTCCGGTGGCGCCTTCTTGTTCAATTATTTCAGCTCCTTCTTTGTCGTTTGCGAGTTCACAAAGTACTCCAGCAGCAACACGCTGAAGTATATAACGCCAAAGGTTAAACGCTTATTTATAATTTCTACTGTTTATTCGTCACCTGTATGTTTTCAATTTCGTTAAATAGCAAGCGTACAAATATTGGTATTACCGACTGCTGACGTATCAAAGTTCGATTATTAGGTTCGCGTGCTAAAATATGTAAGGCACCCACAGTACCTTCGACAATTTCTTCCATACGGACACCATCAGCGTAAGCAGATGGTTGCTGTGAGCCAGTCGTTGCTACAGAAGAACGTTGCTAAAAATAATTTAATATATGTACTTCTTTCATATGTCAGTACGCCGGTTGGTGAAAGACTTACGCGTTCAATGTCCTGGAAAGCTCTCATTAGTAAACGCACTAAATGATGAATGGCTCCATGTTCTCGTAAAGGTGCAGCGTTTTGCTGACACAATGCTAAATTGCGTACCAGGCCAATGGCAGCTTTAATTAGTGGCCAACGTGAAGGTGGATGTAAAAGTTTTACAATTACTGATAAACCATAATTGAGACGTACTGCATTTTGAGCTTTATCCGAGTCAGCATGACGCGTTGTCAAATGACGCAAAGCACATACGGCCGGTTCGGTGATTTCTTCCCGATCTCCAGCATTGATAATGGTACGCACTAAAGCATCAACACCGCCAACTTGGCACACTGTGGCTTTGTTACGCTGGTTGTTGCAAGTGAGATTCGATAAAATCCCAGCAGCACATGTCACCACATTTACATCTGTAGATGCTAATACTTGAACTAAAGACTGAAGCAAACCCTCCAAACCGACAACCTTAGTGGCGGCATCGGATAAATTACGCAATGTCCATAAGCAATTCTGCACCAGCCGTGGTGAAGCATTGCCCAAATGCATTGCCAAAGCCTGCATACCGCCAGCTTCAACTATAACTGGTTTATTGCTTGAACATACCGAAAGTACTTTTAATACTCGTGACGTAGTCCACAATAGCTTCTCGTAATCATATGAGCGCATAATGCGCACCAATTCGTTAGGACCATCAGAGGCCAAAATAATTAATTTGCTCTCCTGATTGCCATACGCAAGAATTTGCAGGCAATCGGTAACAATAGCCAAAAATTTTACATTGTTGCGTTGCAGCAAAGTAATCATTTTTTGCAAACCTCCAACTAAACGAACGGCCATTTTAGAACCGTCTTGATGCAGTAATAAGTTATGCAATGTTGTTATTGCATAAAAAAGAACGCTCTCTACGGGAGACGACAAAAGTTTAACCAAAGCTGGAATACCTCCGCTCTTGAATATTGCCAGCAAACCTTGACGATGATGCGATAAATTATGAAGGGTTCCGACAGCGGCTTTTGTACTCTCCAAGTCGTTACTATTGGAAATGGCATGAACAAGCGCAGCCACCATTTGAGGACTATTCATGATGGCATGACGAGAAGCTTCCTTCTTCGACAATTGATGAACCATCATAGCTGCTTGGGAAACTACCACTTGATCCTCATCATTTAGCAATTTAATAAGTTCTGGTATGGCCCGCGTAGCAAGTTCAGCATCGTCTTGATAGTTGATCAAGTTCACCACGGCGTGTTTTAACATCTGCGATGGTTCAGCCAAACGCTGTACTGCAGTAGGCTGGCCCGGATTGAATTGGGTAGACGGTATTTCTATACCTTCTTCTAATGTTTCTGGGAACATAGCCGCGCGAACACGTTGAGAACGTGTTTGGCTTAATTGTTGATTCATGTCATCGACTTGATCTTGCGTAAAATTCTGGGGGAAACCGGTATCTAAATCAAACATTAGAGGGTCGCCTTCCATCTCTTCATCTTCCTTGCCGGACAAAGATGGCGCCTGTGTGACTACACCCGAATTTATACCAGAATCCACTAGATAAGAATTTTGTTGCCACATTAATGTTTGCTCCTTAGACGACGCCATCGGAGGCAAATCCGGTGGATTATATTGATTATTATGGGACACTAAGGAAGAAAAGAAAGATAAAAAATTCATTAGAATTTCTTTAGCATAATAAAAAAATGTTATGCAGCACAGTAACAGACTACAATACCCCTAAAAAATGATTTTTAATAAAAGAGAAAAGGAAGGAAAGGAATACAAATATTATACATATCTGAGAGCGAGTCCTAGATATACACCCCCTATACTTAATAGGAATTGCAGGCAATTATGCAAGCGGATCGCGATCACTACTATAAATGCTTCGCTTATTTGAATTTTCAGTCATAATGTAGAGTTTTCCAGCAACCTACAAGGAAATTTTCGAGGCCAAGCAAGACTCATACGCTGAGAAAAGTTATGTAAAAGCATTTATTAAGCAATATATTTTCGAAATTTGCTTCTTTCACCATTCTTGCGTAAAGCACGAAACACACAATTATTCACTTTTTATGAAAATTATGCAAAATAAATTAAGTGGCATTTGTTGCTTATAATGGAAACGATCGTTATTTAGAAATATGAGTTACTGACGCGTATCGAAAAAAGTCAGAGGCGATAGAGGATGTTTCTATAAACGCTACAAAAATTAAATTGCTCAGGATACGTGTTTCAGGTAAGGTGTTTTGCGTTTTCAAAAAATTCTTAATGACAAATGAACAGATTTAAACCAATATCTTCATTTTTGTGGCCAGAAGAATACTCGTCAATGACATTACTCCGGCGAATATGATTGTGTTGATTCAGAATTTCGTGGTCAAACTCTCTTCTGAGGCTTTGCAAATGTTTTGACAAAATGAATATGTCCGTACCCATTGGTAGCAGATATCACGAGAAACTATATATAGTAAATATAACGAAAAAACCTTTTTTATAATAGCTGCGCGCTTTGACTTACCACTTACTTCGTTTGTTACGAATTTACTCAACAATATTCTTCCAAAGAATTTATTTAAAAGATGTAATTTTAAACAATTTTTTTTCCAGACAATCAGAAGATTTATGAGAAAGAATAGGTGGACTATCCTAATAGGTAACTGATGTTAACGCTGGAACTACCGACGATTGAGGTATACCTACTTACACAGGAGGGGTCAAAATGACCGGTTTCTTAAATTACCAAGCCATTTAAGAAAAGGCAGCAATTTTTAGCAATTTTCTATTTTTATGGACAAAAAATGAATATAATCTAAATATAAATAATATTAGTTTGGGGAAAAAGAAATCCATTATTTTTATGTGAACTTCAGGACTTTATTTAACATGCTTCGGATTGTCCGATTTGGGTCAAATATGCACTGTTTTGTTGTATGATTTGTTGCCATTTTAAAGGTGACTTCAAAATGCCTCTCTCATAGAAGTCCTGGTCTCTATTTGCAAAAAACTCTAGCAGTTGATTTTCACAATCCCCCCTAGATTCCAATTTTTTACCATTAAAGAAATTTTGCAATGCAAGAAAAAGATGATAATCGCTCGGTGCCAAGTCCAGATTGTATGGCGGATGCATTAAAACTTCCCAACCATGCTCTCGAAGTTTCTGGCGAGTCACTGTAGATGTGTGTGGCCTAGCGTTGTCCTGGTGGAACCCGACACCTCTTCTGTTGGCCAATTCTGGCCGTTTCCGGTCAATCGCTATCTTCAAACGGTCCAGTTGTTGACAGTAGAGATCAGAATTTAGCGTTTGGCCATATGGAAGCAACTCATAATAAATAATCCCCTTCCAGTCCCACCAAATGCATAGCAAAACCTTCCTGGCCGTTTGAGGTGCTTCACCGCTCTTTGACCACGATCGTTTTCGCACAGGGCTATCGTATGTGATCCATTTCTCATCTCTAGTCACCATCCGTTTAAGAAATGGGTCTATCTCATTCCGTTTGGCCAAGGCTTCGCAGATGGAAATTCGAACCATCATGTTGTTTTCTGTTAATTGGTGTGGCACCCAAACATCGAGCTTCTTTTTGAATCCAGCTTTGTGTAAATGGTTTAAAACTGTTTAATGGTCGATTTTTAGCTCCTGGGCGATGTTACGACTGCTAACATGCCGGTCAACTTCGATCATTTCTCCGATTTTATCGACATTTTCGACGACCGGCCTACCTGTGCGAGGTGCATCTTTAACATCAAAAATTCCTAAACGGAATCTACGAAACCAAAATTGCACACAATTGGCTGTTAGAGTATCGGAACCATAAACACCATTCACAATTTTAGCCGCCTGGCTTGCATTTTCGCCTTTGTCAAAGAAAAACTGTAAAATGTACCGAATTTTCTCTTTGTTCACGTCCATTTTTAACACGCTGTAACTCACAACTGAATGCACCAAACAAAAAACAGCAAAAGAATTTTTTTTACTGCGAAATGTCACCTTTCCAACGAGCATAAATATGAAATTGTTTGATCGATACTTTTCGAGAAATCTATCAGTGCAGCCATCTACCGAAAAAATAATGGATTTCTTTTTCCCCAAACTAATAGTAGAATAGCAAGAATTTATAAAGTACCTGTGCACAAAATCAAGGACATTTTTTGCAAGTTTTAGTTGTTTTAGCAGAACATTTACCACAGACTCGTTTATGGCATGTACCACAAATAATGTTTGTTTTATTATTATTGCACTGCCCTATTTGACACAATCTACGTTTCATTGAAATATGTGTCTGGTTCTGCGACGATTTCGATGATGACGTTCCTTCTGCTTGAACTGTAGATCGAGTGGTTATTTCTTTGTAGTCAGTTGCAAGTCCTTCGGATAATTCGAATACAAAGTGCTTTCTTGAAATATTCTCTCCTATTGTTTACTTATATAATGTCCAGGTATTTATACCGGCAAGATCTAGGATATTGTAAAAGACTTGTAGTGGCCACCTTCGGGATTCAGCTTTCACAGTATATTTCTTTGCCATTTGATCCGTAACATCTACGCCAAATTTGGTATTGTTATAAAATGTAACCGTTTCAGGTGAACATATGCCATCCTTTTTAATTTTCACTGACTTATGTTTTGAACTGAGCACTAATACTCTTTTATTGGGTTTACTCTTGTATATAGTCAAAGTACAATTTTCCGTTTCATAAAGTACTGTCGAGAAACGAAACATGTTATTCTTTTTTGATTTTGCAGGTTTAGGTAGTTCTCTCTTATTTTGTCCAATGGTGCCGACTAAGGAAGTTTTTTTCTTTATTAGTTTTGTTGCTAATGACAAATTTGTAAAGAAATTATCTGTTGTAACTGTTCTCCCGCAATGTATGGATCCATAAGTTTTAGGACAACAAATTCACCTAAAGGTACGGATAATCTCATTTAGTCTTTTCCTAGGTAGGGAAATGCATTAACAACATATTTACTTTTTACATCCGACGCCAACCAGTATTTTATGTCAAAGTTATTCGGCTTTTTTGGTATGTACTGCGTAAATCTACATCTGGCTTTGGTCGGGAATAATTGCTCATCAACTGTAATGGTAGCACGTCGTTTATAACACATTTGACTGTTTTCAATGAATTTATTCCACACCTCTGAAACTAATGCAAATTTATCTGTTTGCAATCTTCGGCTTCTTTCATCTTTTTTATCGAACCGAATTAGCCGAAGAATTTCGGTGAGTTTATTCCTGCTCATTGTCTCAGAGAAAAATTTGGAACCCCATTTTTCAGACCATAAATACGAAAGTTTTAAGTTTTTTGCTTGGTATGCACCACAAGCATATAAAATTGCTATAAACGCATTCAACTCTGCTAACGAAACAGCCAATCAACGTTATTCAGAATTCCACGAGCTTCTGCTTCAGTGGAAGCTTTTATACGTTTCATAACATTATTGCAAACTATCAAAGAAAATGCTGTTCTTACACTACCTTTCACAATATGTCGTTTCGCATATGCCGCTGGACCTGACATTTCTTTGAAACTGTTGTGTAATGGTATTCTTCTTGGCGTTGAACCTTCTTGTAGTTTTTTCCAGATAGTGCCGTCAACAGATATTTCTGAACCTTAGTCGGTTACAGACATTTCAACATCCTGTACAAGTACTTGATCTTCACTATCAGTATCGGATGATTCGCTCGAACTTTCATTGTCTGATGGAAGGTATTCATTTGTACTTCCACCCAGAACACTTTCATCATACTCTGAACAATCTTACCAATTTTGTTCTAAATTGCTTATTTGCTTCAATAATTCACTGCTTCGTGAAGTTTTTTCCATGGTTTCTCTTTCTAATAGACAACTGAGTTGTATATGACAGCGTTTCTGACGATCGACTGAAAGTAATCTGAGAAAACTTGCCTGCAATAAATACTACAGGTAATGACCAAGACAAACAGTCGTAGGAAAAACCTTTTTTGATTGCTGACAGATCTTTGAGTTTGAAATATTTTCGTTCACGACTACAGGTATTAGGATACAAAATAACCTGTCATAAAAATTTCCACGATACAACAGAACAGTACCGAAAATCTACGTTCCGTGGGATGGGTCAAAATGACTGGTCTAGGTGTATACTGCATACAAATTTACAACAAAATGTTAATAAAAATGTATAAAAGTTTTACAGAATTAATTATTTGTGTATCTTACAAAAAGTCGTGCAAACTTTTCTGAAAAAAATGCAATGAAATGAGTTATAATTATAAAAAATGTCAAACTAGCCATTTTGACCCCTCTTGGTAGTTCTATTGCTAATCTAACACAACGATTAATAATCCTCAGACCTGACAGACATATGTCGTCTCTAACAAAAAATTCACATTATTTTAGAAATTCAATTCAATTCGATCGCTTTTATAATAGGGTTAGTGACGCTACCTTTGTTGTATTTAAAACAATGAAAAATCTCAATGTTTTTTTGTGTTGATAAAACATTGCTGAAATACCGTTCAAATACCGTTCCGTACTGGTTTACAATGTATTATGAAAAGCCTTCCACGTCGCAAACAACAATTCAACAACAATTAATCGAGTTGAAACACGGTCGCATGCATATTGGTGGCGTGAAAACCTTAATTGATTCTTGCAGCAGAAAATA